ACGATTTCTCGCAGTCGCAGCGTGTGTGTTAACCATAAGACTCTTTTTTTTCTCTTTATTAGGAATAACAAACAATTGTACAATATAATCTTATTATTAAACACAATACTATATTTAAGCTTAATAATCATACAATCAACACCGTTATCCACATATTACCACTGGGTCTGTGTACGTAACAATTAAAAATTAAAATATAATGTTCTATTAAAAACGACCCGTTCACCAATAAATATAGAGAAAAACAAGCTAATTTACACATATGCATGTACATGTGCACGCATATACATACACACACATATACAAACATTCATACACGCACATACACGTATATACATAATACATAGATGTGAAAAATTAAATTTAACCCAAATGAGCAATTACATTAACTTGCATCAAATTCAGATAGAACCTCATACACAGCTTTTTTATATCTAGAAGAAGTTAATCCAAAAATGTCTATGTCATTAAATTTGTTGTTGTATAATTCCATTATACGATTTAGAGGTGCACGTGCACCTGCATTTGTTTTACTTGGTTTTGGAGCGAAAATTTGATGTGAATGGAGCTCGCGTATACGCTTCGAGCGTCTGTCTCAGAGTCGATAGAACACCCTGTTAATTATTTCTGCCGCTAGGGTGCAGTTTGTGCACTGCTGTGTTCATCTCTGAAGAGTTTGAGAGAGAGAGAAATGTCACGTTTAAGGTAAATACCGCTAGAATCGCCTTGATGTCCTTAATGTTGATTTCAAGAAATACATACTCAGAGGAGCCTGAATAAGTAGAAGGAGAAGCTGTAAGAACCTTGTAAGGAATTGAGGCTCTCAGATATATGGCAACTCCGCCTCTGTCTTTTTTCAACCCTGTCTTTGATATGAGCTAAAATTTATAGATGGTTTCAACCAGTTCTCCGATATTAAAATAGAATGGATACAACCCTGTGAAAAAGCTACTTCAAAATCTGAAAAATGGTTGGGAACGCTTTGTGCATTTAATATGACAAACGTTAAAATATTTGTGGCAGGCAGATCGACGATCGTAGTGCCAGACGTTTTGCAACTTTGATACTCTGCTCGTCGGCAGTCTGAGTAGATACGAGATGGTTGTAGTGCCATCTATCGGAAGTAATAAGATCTTTCTAGCACTTACCACTGCACTGTTGCCTTTACGACACCCAGGGTAGGAAATGTGGTGATGGATTATTTTACGCTACCATCACATAGCAAATTAATTATAATAAATTATTATTATCTCTATATATAAAAATATTTGCTGTACGTTAGCTCGCTAAAACTCAAAAATGGCTCGAGCGATTTGATTAATTTTTGTGTGTGATTGGGTGAGTCTTTAAATGGTTTAGATACAGTTAGAACTTATAGGTGGCGCTGTTGTCAAGATACAAACATCACTCGCGTGAAATCTAAGCGAATCACTAATTACATTAATAATAACTTTATTAATATTAATACTAAAATGAATCAATGTAAAGAATAACAACAATATGAAATAAAAGTAGGGAAAACAATCTACACTCAAGAGATCACATTAGGAACCTTAATTCATATGAATTACAAAGCCAAAACTCAGAGAATATATATATATATATATATATATATATATATATATATATATATATATATATATATATAAGATTTGATTTAATAATTTCCTTAGATTATATTATTTATTGAGAGTGAGAGACATACTGAACCTAAACGTTAAGTTACAACGATAAATTGCCATACAAAATACAGCAGCGTTAATCTGCTATTTTACGCTAGTGATCCTCCCCCGGTTGAGCCGACCCGTTCGTGCTACAAGTATAACAGTAATATAGCTGCAGCACAGCTCCACCACGTAAGAAAACGTTAATTTTCCTGTGTGCTACATTTACCGCCTAACATCTCATAAGATTAAAAGTGTGTTCGGAGAGTTTTGTGTTCTTCTGCAACGGGTCTTGCAGAAATGAACTCCGACCGTATGAACAGTTTCCACGAGCTTGTCATTCATATCGTCCACAGCATTGCCGTCTCCTAGGTAATAAAACTATTTTGGAACTCGAGTTGTAAGTTTTCGGGGCTTTGGATTAGAGCACGAGGGGGACGGAGTGTTGACTTCATTGGACGTGATCTCTGCAACTTAACGTTTAGGTTCAGTGTGCATCTCACTCTCACTAGATAATATAATCTGTATAAATTATTAAATCAAATCTTATAAATTCTCCAGAGTTTCTTGCATTAATAAGGGTTCCAGATGAAAATCAACTTCTAGGAGTCCTGAATCAGTAAGATACGATTCAGTTTATTTTATACTCTTTTGATCTTATGATGATATGACTTGATACTTCGTAACTTAGACACTATACTGTACTTCAGTACTCTTATATAGCTGTTGTATAGGAGGATGACAGTAGATGGACTTTTAAAGTACATACGGGATTTCAAGTACTTGTTTTTACGTTTAATATATTATATTCATCTGTGGTATAAACTGCGAATTTCTTATAAATACTACAGTGATGCTGTAGCTATATTATAGTCTTACCGTAAATGGGTCTGCTCTACCGGGGAAGGATCACACTCTTACAGAATACCAGCGTAAAGTATCAGTTTAATTCTGTTGTGTTTCGTATGGAGAGTGTAGAGAACCAGAGACACTTTTTATTGGAAACGAGGCATTCCATCATAAACTACAGGTGTGACAGCGCATCTTCATTTATAATCGAGGATAGATGTAGGCCCGCCTTTCATCCACTTACCATCAGGTGGACTGTCTGCTCGTTTTTCACCTTTATTCTATAATAAAAGAAAAACCTAAAACGTGTTTGCAGCTAAAGTAAAACAAATTGGTTATTAAAAGTACAAAACAACGTCTTAATGTCACATCTTAACTCTACATGACTCTACCTTTTTATATTTAACCACTTACTCTTAAATACAGTTATTATAAAAGTTATCTTCTTATTATAAGTTTTAGAACAATGCTGTGCCTAGCAAGTCGTGTGTAAAATGTTACTATAATCGCCTGTTTTGTTCAAATCTACGTAAAAATGTTTTAATGAGAAACTAGATGTTACCAGTCCAATTGGGCTTATAATTTATAAACGTATCGATGAAACCCTCCCCACCCTAACTTAATATCGTTAAAAGTGTATCCTATATCCTTTTCCACAGTAAAATGTACTTGTTTTGCTAAATTTAGTAAAATTTACTGAAGCCGTTTGAGTGTGATGAGTGACAAACACCTAAAGAGGCAAGCTTTTACATTTATAATATTTCTTAGACTTAGCTTATTAAAAGCCTTCATAATTATTATAAGAATATATCATGACATATTTCTTAGGCAAACGTTCGGAACGATTTTTTTAATATAAAATAAGGGTGACAAACGAGCACACAGTCCAACTGATGGTAAGTGGATGCTGTGGCCCATAGACATCTAAATCTATCCTCGATTAAGAATCAAAACACAAGTGCGTTGTCAACCCTGAGGACTAAGATGCAATGCCTCGTTTCCAGTAAAAAAGGGTCTCCGGATCTCTACACTCACCATACGAAACACAGCAATATTAAGCTGATATTTTACGCTGGTATTCTGTGAGAGCGTGGTCCTACAATGATTCTTGATAGATAATCTGCAACTAGTATAATAAAGTTGCAGCGTGGCTCTACCACGTATAAAACTCGTAAATACAACAAACATATTAATTATTGACAATATGAAATACAATGCCAATTAGGTAATTATTAATAAATAAGATCAGATCGACGTCTCTGTAGCGTAGCGTTACGCTACAGAGACGTCGATCTGATTTTAGCAGCATAGAACATAGCAAACTGAAAAATATCGACGCTGCGGAGCCCCTGGTTCAAATCGTGCACGGAACAAGTGTTACAAATTCATGACAATAACAATAATAATTATCTCACATTGTATTGATACATCATAGTATACTTAACAGTTGCTCTAAATACACTAGATACAAAGCGCATAAATATAAAAAAGCAAATCCAAGAAATTAGGTATAAGTATTCGAAAATCTTTAAAGAAAAACATATCGGCTATATCTTTTCTCTCCGAGTTAATAATCAATCATGGTAATATACTGTAGACATACGCGATAGATAACGAATTATCTGAAAAAGCTGTTATACTTTATGACATAGAACGTATGTAATAAATAAAAATATGCAAAAAAGTATAAGTAATAAAATAGTTTGTTTTTGTTAGTCTACATTTATTAATAAAGCAGATAGGTACAGTAAAAACAACAACGTAGTCATCATTTTAAAAGTGAAAAAACTTCGTTTTGTCAAAAAGCTTTTTTTTTAATATTACAGCCACATCGCGATGTTTGTCAGCAATTTTCATTACTATATGTGATGATGCAGGCAACAACATTGATGGTACCAATGTTGTTAGTCATAAGAATTGAAGTTAATGTACCTAAAGTTAAGATATGTCCGTTATTTATAACTTTGTACAAGACCATTAAGTAACCATCGAAAAACTTAGATCAATGTGCGACTCTATCATAAACTATAATGATTTAACTTTACAATTGCTAGACACGTTTACGATTGGTTCTAAGTAACAAATCGGTTCGTCCTCGTGGTACGTATGGTTTACATTCGAATGCAAACATAGAGTAATGTGATTAGCGGCCGGAGCGCTCGCGTCGGCATCTCGGTTCATATTGATTGCCGGTGACATCGTTATCGTCGGCGCGGCCGCTCCGCTCCACTCGCCGCCCAAAAGAAACAGGAGCGTTTCTTCGCGCGCCCGCAGCACTACAGCACAACGGAAAAATGGGCGGGGACTCCGCGTCGGTGTCGGCGCCCAATGGCGTCGCTGGCCGACCTCGAGCGGACCAATCGGCGGTAAGCGCCAGGGCGGGCGCGCGCACCTCGCCGCGCCTTCGCCTCGCTCACGCTTTTTATTTATTGTTGCGCGGAACGTGGCGCGCGACGGGCGTGTGATGTGCGCGTAGAGTGAACCAGCATGGAGTCCGCCGTGGACTCAGCGTCGACCGCGAGCGAGGTGAGCGGCTCGTCGGGCGGGTCGCCGCGTGTGAAGGCTGCGTCGCCGGCGCGCGCCATGAGCCCGCCGGCGCTGTTGGCGCCGCGGCTGCCGCTGCCGCCGCCTGGCCTGGGCCTGCTCGGCTCCCTGCAGATGATGCACCACTCGCCGCTCGAGCTCATGGCGGCCGCGCACCACCACGGCCCGCCGAGATACGGCAGCCCGCCGCCCATCTCTACCTCCGACCCGTCCGCCAACGAGTGCAAGCTTGTCGACTACCGCGGACAGAAGGTCGCCGCCTTCATCATCCAGGGCGACACGATGCTCTGCCTGCCCCAAGCGTTCGAACTCTTCCTCAAGCATCTCGTGGGGGGCTTACACACAGTGTATACGAAACTGAAACGTCTGGACATAGTGCCGTTGGTGTGCAACGTGGAGCAGGTTCGAATCCTGCGCGGGCTCGGCGCCATCCAGCCGGGCGTTAACCGCTGCAAGCTGCTCTCGTGCAAGGACTTCGACGTGCTGTACCGGGACTGCACCACCGCAAGGTACGTTTCCATCGAGTTAACGTCACCGATACCTACTTTTAAATGTGAGTTCCTTTTATACCTATTTTGTTTTTCATTCCTGTTTGAGTCTGACAACTTTATGGTTTTATTTGCTTACCATTCCTTGTTAGATGTAGACAGTTTAATTGCTATTTTTTTATTTATCTATATCACAGAATGTTATTTATTCATCTATAGACAAAGTAATAAGCTTACAAATAAAAACAAATATGAAATACTTAATTGCGAATATTTAAAAGAAATACCTAGATTTTTGGGACTAGCATCCCATATGTGGACTCTCTTTTGCTTTAAAGATGTTCGGTTACAAAATTAAAAACTTTTGCGATTACAAAAGTTTGTTTTCAACTATGCAATGGTAGGATAGATTAACTTGCGGAAAGAGATATTTGGGTAACATTGATTTCACGAGTTGTTCTAACGCTACAATGAGGGCGTCCCATTAATTTTTCACATTTTAATACGCGCCAAATATTTCCACTGGGTTTAAATATTCAGGCGGGCCACGGCGACGGAAGGGTTAAATCTCTGTTAATTAGCGGCCGAGGTTTAAATATTTAAAACGTAATTTTTACGCAAGCTAAAGTTAGATTAAAAAATCTTTATTTGCTGCGGGAGCTCATCGCACATCCGAGTAGGCCTATAATGTAAAGTTTCCTTGCGGCCAATACGATTTTTAAAATGTAATGACTGTAGCTACAGTGCGTTGGGGACACGTAAATTTTAATTTTCTGAACATCGTATTGTCGTATTGTGTCCGAATTATTAAATATGTTCTTCTGGGCGGCGGTTACGTTTTAGGCACAATGTGTTTAGTTCCCATGAGTCATATTTGTGTTTGATTTCATGAAATCATAATGCTAATGTTCGTTTAACTTGTGATATCATATTTTCTACGTCACTGGCTTATTTCCGTTTGCCGGCCATTTTGTTTCACGGCAGAATTAAATAATATTCATTATCTTTATAAAAGTTATTAGCTGTAAAGTAATGCAATAACTTAACAATCGCTATAATGTTAAGGATTATAATTATAACGTACAGGTTTAGTGGATGATTACTTTTTAATTATTGTTTTATATAATCTTGTTTATTTTGTAATGTTTTATTAGTGGCTATATAATTTAAATTACTAGGTATTTATATTATACATTTATATATTATAATTTATTTAATTCCAATTTATTTCATAATTAAAACGTGGTATTTAAAAATTAGGCAAAACATGAATATAATCTAAATTAATAAAATGAAATAATTAAACAAAATTACTTGAAGTATGAAAATAATTACAAAATATGGCAATTAGAGACAAAAAAATTATGAGACGAGTTATGGGTTATTCACTTCTCGTTGGCAGTTAAACTTTGTTATTATTTTCTTAATTAAATTGCGAGTACACCTGAGAAAATTGCGAGGCAAAATAGTTTCAGCAAAAAAGCCGGAGCTTTCTAGCGCTGATTGTCAATGACATCAGTTACTGATTTAAAATTCTGCTAGAGAAAAAAAAACTATTTGTTATATTATATATCAATATATTATGATCTATGAATAAGAGTACGTACTCTAGGTATGAACCGGTTACAATGTGATTATAATAATAATACAAAGTTTATATTGAAAACAAACCACTGCTTGAAGATTATCTTTTTCTCCTTTTCACCATCGGAGGACCAGTAGTTCGGCGGTTCTTCACCTCCTTGTTGTCGAAATTCCACGCAATAGAACCAAACGGATTGCTTCGACTTTTTTTTTAATGCGTACAGCGAATGAGTGGAATAATTTGCCGGCGTCTATCTTTCCGTCCGAATACAATCTGGGTGTCTTCAAGGCAAGAGTGAATAGTCATTAGTTACGCTAAGACAGTGCGATTTACCATCTAAGGCTGCATCACCACTTACCACCAGGTGGGGTTGTGATCAAGCACTGGCTATATATAAATATATAAAAAATTGTGTAAATTGTGTAGACACTATCACTGTCGCCCGTCACAGGTCATAGATTGCCTTAAAGTGTTTATGGTTCTGAACCACCTGTATCCATCGACTACCTGCGTGATCAATATACATCAGGTCGTCACTCTATATAGTGGGGTGTCATCTAACACTGTGCTTGCCAGTACGAGGCTGCCACTTAAGACCTTTTATTTTCTATAGGTATATTCTATAGGTTCATTCAACATATTGATATGCTGGGCTATGTCGGTTACTCTTTTTCTTCTGTGGATATCCTCGTTACGGATTTTATCCCGCAAAGAAATTCCGAGCATTGCTTTTGCCGTCACACGCTACGTTACTTTGAGCTTTCTCATACGGCCAGCAGTCAAGAACCACGTTTCGATTCTGTAAGTTACCGGCAACAAGAATTGCTTATCGGCTTTATTTTGTTTGAGATCGCTGACAATAGGTTGAAAGTGTGTTCACTTTTGCCTCGATGACACCCACATTGTAATCTGATGGAAAAACGAATACTGGTAAATTATTCCACTTCATTACTGTACGCACTACGCATGACGCAGAAAACCGTTTGGTTGTTCAACAGAAAAGAGAGAAAGGAATCAAGTCATGCGAATCCTACGCACACTCCAAAATGTATCCTGTAGAACATTGATATTTCGCGCCTGTGCTCGAGACTTGTAACATTTACTTTATACAAATTGGCGTCACCAATAAACCTTTAGTACGCCTTTTTATTGAGTCCATAGCTGCTAGCTGGCATTTTGCAGCACCAGCCTATATATGGAAGTAAAATTCCACGCATGGCTGAACTTGCGATTTATATTGACTAAGCGCAGCTGTCCCGGCGTGAAGTTCTTTTTGCGGTGGAAAGACATACTTGTGTTTTGAAGGTGTTTAATTTCACAAGACTGACATTGCACTATTCGAAAACTGGCTGCAAAGAGAAGTTCACATTCTTTTTCGGACTGGATTTGTCCTGCGCACTCTGCTTGATATCTCTTCGCAACTATGCCTACCTCTGAATGCTAGTCATAAGCAGGTAATTGATATTGCCGCCGAAAGAGAGTAATGGAGGAAACGAATTCTTAAGAAACTTCGATATTATTTGTATTATAAAGCGATAAATATGAAGTTTTTGATACACAAACAATTACTGCAGTCAAAAAATATTTTTTGCACAATAACTAGGTACTACAAAGAATGTGATTTTGTGACTTATTAATTGTGATTTATAAATCGATGAGTGATGATTTAGTGATATATGTCAACTGATTTATCTAGTTCACGCGTCGTTAGCTTCCTCTCGCGTTTGTTTGTCGGTCCGTAGCAGCTACAACTGCGTAATTGGTATCGGTGTATTTAATTATGTTTTTTGAACTTTTTTGCGTTTAAGTTTTCTCGTGATAATAGTTGGAAATATGAGCGGAAGTAAAATATATATTTACAAATTATTTACGGCGTTTCTTTGATTCCTCATTTCATGTATTTTTTTTGTTGTGAGTGAATATTTTACTAAATACAGTAATATTTTTAAATTAATATTTAAAGTTTGAAATCCTTTATTTGAAGTAGTTTGAAATACCTATATTCAACTGCGGGTTTATTGTAAGAAATAATTAAAAAGTAGGTATAAATTATAACACATATAAAATAACATTTCTTTAAGAGTTTAAGTAACTTTGTATAATAACAGTTTTATATTATCTATTGTTGCCAAGTTTTATGTTATAATCGAATGTAGATGCCTTAACAGATAGTGTTACAAAGAAATATTTAAAAAACGAATGCTACCCGCACACAAGGCATCATTTTAATCTGTATTGACACGTTTCCACCATTACGATTCGAACGATTCACGACGAGAATACAGACTATACAAATAACATGTTTTTGTTGCTCACCTACATATTGCCTACATGGCGACTCAAGGCGGCTTATCTGTTAACTTTTTGTAAAGTATGTATTATAATTTGCCGAGAATATCTTGTCCTTACTAAATGTGATTGATGACCAACCCGGAAACATTATTTGTGGTGCCAAATGTTAGTACTAACTCTAATAGCTTAGAATTAATCTATTCTAAATTCAAAAAGAAGATATGCAAAATAACCAAGGCTTTTTTCTTACCAGTATCGAACACAGGCGCAAAGTAGCCAGCCTTTCGATTTTCTACAGGGAGCATTTCGGAGAGTGTTTCGGTATGTGTGGAATTGCATGACTTAATTCATGCAATTTCACAGTTACGGAGACCATTTTGTTGTTAACTTACCACGCATTCGAACCAAACGGTTTGTTACATCGGTCGTGGTGCGTACAGCAAAGAAGTGGAATATGTTGCCCGTATCTGTCTTTCCATCCGATTACAATATTCTAAAAAAGCTTTTGTTAAGTCAGTGCGCTTCACCATCTTGAACTACATAATCACATACGATCTGGCTTATAATAGTGAAAGAAAACCTTAAATCAGAAATTAGGTATGAATAATTATGCAAATTGAATCATCGTTACCATGAGTCCTTAATAGTCCATTGCTTGATCTAGGTCTCTCCCATTGAATAATTGCTCTGATTGTTGACAGGCAGATTGACGAACGCTTTACCAGAAGTCTGGCATGTTTGACGTTGCTCCCCGTCGCCAGTCTGGGTATTTTACGCTTGGCGTAAACAATATGGTTATACCGTCATCTATCGAGAGCTATTATATTTTTGCCATCAGTCGCCTCGTAAGAGACCCAGAGAAAGATATACGGTGATAGATTCTCATACGTTACCACCACGCGTCACTAATCGAATCGTTTCATATATAAAGGTGAAGGGGCAACTTTAGTTACAATAAAGACTATCAAAGTGTGTGGCGTTGGAATATCCACTACCCCATATCGTCCCGTGGGTGTCGTAAGTGGCGACAGGGGGAAACTGAAGCAGGAGATGGGCAGCAGCACCTTCTGCATGCTTAGTGTGGCAACTATTGCAAAACCCGGGGGGATTGAGGAATGAGGCAATGTTTGGGGAGGTCTAGGTT